ATATTATATCAATATGGAAGAAACAAAACATTTCACATAATTCTCGTAACATCAAACCAACTTTTTTCAAACAAGAGAGTTTGTACTTAGAAACATACATGTTTGTGCAGTGATCAAACAAAATCGAAACCACTTGCAATGTGCGCACAAGTACCCCGCACCATAAGAACAGAAATTCGTGGGTGCTGCTGTTAAAAGGGGAGAGACGAAATGTGATAGAAATGTATGGTGAGATGAGCTGCAAACTTCAGCCGCTCATGCAACCACTTTGGCAAATCATAATGTTGGATTCGTATGCATGCAGTTGATATTCGAATAGAACAGAAAATTACTCTCATACAATTCCCACTATATAAATCTCTATCTCTGATATTACGAACGGGAGCACACGCACATTATTTTGTTCATATGCAACGTATGAATGTGTGGCCAACTTCTTTGCACACAAAGGGGAGAGACGAAATAAAATAGAAATGTTCTGTGATTTGAGCTGCAAATATATGAGCACACCTAACAAGTATAGCAGCTAGCAGAAGCAAATTGATTGAGTTTTCATAGACAATTATATTTAATTGTTTTTGCTAAAACTTTAAAAATATATATTTATATGCAAATGTAATAAATAATAATAATTCTTGATGTAAAGATACTTAATAAATTTATATACCTATGTTATTTAACATTTTGCAAATTATATTAGGGTGTTCACCGCACACCTCCGCACCTTAGAGCAGTCGTCACTGCTGGATATATAAAGCTTGTGACGATTGTATTATCTTACCCATAACTTATAAAGACTGATATTGGTTCAGCGTGATGGAACGAATTAAATTTTACTTTTGATGGAACGCATAGCAGGCTTTGCCCAGATTATAGTTATACGCATTAACATTTTTACAATCATATATCATATCATATTTTTAATGGTTTTTGAGATGGGATCTATTTAAGCTGTAAGCGTTCTGCGGTACTATATTTGGTGTTTCTAGGCATTCTCAAATCGAATAACATTAATAAATAATGACGTCCTTACGATTAATTTAAAAACCGAAAAATCTCTTACAAGTTAAAAATTAATTACACAAAGTTGTCTTTTTAAACAACTTTTTAAAACAACAATTTTTTTAAATAAAAATAAATATATTTTTGAATACATATCGTATACATATATATATTTTGATTCTTTGGCATTTTTATAGCGTCAGCTTATCAGTACAATGAACTTAAAATCTGTTTTTAATTAAAAAAAAAATTGATAAACATTTTGTATATTTGATAAATGTATATTTGTTTAAAGTATTTTAAATTTATATAATTATTAATTTTTTGTTTGTTTTTGCGATATAAATGACTTCAATTTAATTAACAGCTTTGCTTATTTCTGAAAATGTAAGAATTTAAGTGTTATATAAGATTAAATCGAATATGCAGGCGTACATAATTGTCAAAAGGTTTCATTAATATAAGCATCATATATAATGGTAAAGATTTGCGAATACTCATTGCACTGGGAACTCTCCACCACTGTTTTCCAGTTTTATTTACAAAGCACAATTTATGTATTACTGATACCAGTATTTGTATTCCTGATCATTAGCTCTTCTGATACACTAAAAATTTATTTCAACTCTTAAGCCAGTATGGGAAGATATCTTAGCGTTTCCTCTTATTCGGCACTGTTCCGTTTTTAATCATATATATATATCCAACAATTCTCCTGATAACTTTTCATTTCTTCGAAAGGATGTGAATGATAAGATAAGAATTAAGCAAATATTTTTCATGGCCACTTCATATAATTTACTGATATTTAATAAATGAATCAAAATGTTTAAACATTACTATGGTCAAGTTACTTAATTCTCACTCGAAATTCGAACATTTAGATCAAACAATAAATGTTCGAATCTCTAGGCGCTACATGAACAGAAATAGAACAAATTTCTATTTTGTTTTTGATTTCTTTTGTGTAAAAACGAATAGTAGTAAGTAATCGAACACCATCAGATGTTCAAGCATATTCGAACCTGTGCTCGCAAATCAAAATAAATATGAGCTTAAAATAGCTCAAATAATATTCGAAACTCTAATTTGAGAAATTTATCGTAATATTAACATTTATTATTAACTTAATACAATTAATTAAGGACGTGTGCGAATAAATTGAAGAAAGGTAAATTGAAATTTTCTAGGTATTTTTTGCACTGCACTCATATAAATATTTATTTATTTATTGCATTTATTTATTATTTTTGATTAAAAGTTTTCAAATTTATTTATTTATTTATTTATTAAACATGTTATAAAATTTTCACGATGGTAACACCTAATTTATCTAGTTTTTATCTAATTTACCCTAGTCGAAATACTGGTAAATACCAACATTCGCTGCCACACCGACATAATTTACTATTTCCCACAATTGACCATCAATTTACTCGAACTCGCGATCTAAAATTGATAATTGAATACTGTTTAAAAAAATATATTAGGTTATTCTACTAAAAAATAGTTTCTATTAAGAAAAAATTTAAATTTGTACATATTTCATATATATTCAGTATATATATTATATTGACAATACATTAAATTTGAGAGTTTTTATATTATATTTTTAATTGAATTACAGGTGGACCATGCTGCTCCAAATGACGAGGTGCGTCACGTTGGTGATTTGGGCAATATTGAAGCTAATGAATACGGCGTTGTTGATACAATGTTGACTGATCATGTTATAAGCTTATCCGGTAAACGTGCCGTTATTGGACGTGGTATCGTCATACATTCTGATGCCGACGATTTGGGTAAAACAAATCATCCCGATTCAAAGAAGACTGGCAATGCTGGCTCCCGTGTTGCTTGTGGCATCATTGGTATTAAGTAAATATTGTTTCTTTTCTCTCTTGTGAATAATTATTAACAAATTATATGTATTGTTTTTGTTGTTGTTGTCATTGCTATTTTCAACGTAACTAATATAGGTTACGTTTTTATTTTTGCTGTTGGGGAAATACTTAAAGATAACAAATACAGCGGGATTTATATAACAAAATAATATGTATATGAATGGATTTGGTTAAATGATTTGAAAAATCGAATATATTTAGTGAATAAATACATAATTTTGTACATACAATATTGTGGGCAATAAAAATGTTTTGTTCGCTGCTGGTTTTATTTTTGTGTATTTTGTGAGTAATTATTACATTGTATATATAGTATATATATATACATATATTTCTAAACATAATGCTAATTTAATCATACATACTTACGTATTTAATGCATAAACTTCGTTTTGTAGACGGTAGGTACTTAATTTTTTTTATTGATTACATTTATTATTAACATTATTTGTTTTGGCCATTTCATTTATTTCAATCCCATTCATAACACTGTATATATGTAAATATTTGTTCCTGTTTGGTTTCATTTGACATTAACTTGGAAAAATTAACAATTAATTACTTTTATATAGGAATATGTGCTGAACATTAAAGTTTAGAAGTAGTGAGCACATCAATAGCAGAAAGTCCAGAACACTGTGGATTGTGTAAGAATATGGTGTAAGAATATGGTAAAGTAGTGGTGTCATTTGTTCCTGGTGTCGATAAAAACACTTTTAATAATATTTAAATTTAATAGATTAATAGTATATTCAGATTAAAATGGCGAATAAGAGCTAATTCTGAAAAGCGAATGAGAACGATGATGTTAGCGTAGATTTATTATAATAAATCGAAATGTCACGATTGTTTGCAGTACCTGTAAAAGTTGGACATTTCGATTTATTATTATAAACGAAACATAAATGTTTTTGTTCTGCTTAACTTTATTTTAAACACAATTCATTTAGGTCTGATACAAAGGTTTGTCGAATTATCTTATTAAATACATTAAATATAAATTTCAGACTACAGGATTCACACATGAAATGCCATTTATAACAATAAATAATAAGCTGTAGTTTCAACTTATTAGATACAAAAAGATATTTACTATAACTTTAAAAATAGTGATACAAATTTGTACTAAGACCAAGTTATAAGTTTTATTAAATTGAAATCAGTTTAGTAACCTCAGTAGGAATCTTAAAAATAATAACTCATAATTATTCAAAGAATAAACATAAAATTATTGAGAAATTCTTTCATATATTCTGAGAAAATACTGAAGTGAAGAACCCATTTTAAAATATTTATTCAATGCAAATTAAATATTAACGAAGAATTATTTTAACTTAAGTGAATTAAAGAATAGGTAAAAAGTCTATGAAAAGATCCAGAATTGTTTTATTCGTTGAAAAAATATATACTTATTATAAATTATTCTTATTTATCAATTATTGTATGTAATTTCATGGATTCTTTCAGATTTATTTGTTTTTGCAGTCAATTACTTTATTTTATTAAGTAATCATAAATGTCTTAGGACTTATTATTATATTATTAATAAGAGTTGTTGTAATTGTATGTATTCAAAGCCTGTGTTCTAGATAAAGTTGGCGTCATATTTTGTATATATTTTGTTGCCGTCCTTAAATGAAAATATGTAAATTATGTAAACACATTTTTGTCAACCCTTTTTAATAATTAAGCCCACGTGTATAACCCTGTAGATTTATGTGACTGTTGAGGAACCAATGCTTCTCTAAAGCTACGTAACAGTCAATTTTGTAAAAAATTAATAATCTAAAGCTGTTAGATAACATCAGAAGATTTATCACTTTCATAGCAGCGGAAACTCTTGGCATATTTCCAAACAGAGCAGTAGTAGTTCTAATTCAATAACTCCCAACTGACAATCCAACAGTTCTAATCTAACAGCAAATTTTAACTGATACAATAAGACCTCATACCATTTCTGTAATATACTTGTTTGAGGAAGCTATAACAGATAGCTTTAAACTATAAAACATGATATGAATGTTTTCTTTTTCGTGCCTTACATATGTTACTAATAAATCATACGAACATTTCTAACAACTAACTAAATCTTTAATCTAAAAGGTTTTGTGTATAAATGAAATACTTTTAAAAGGCAGACCACATGTTATACCACACATATCACATCTTCCACCTACAATCAAGATATAATAGCACAATAAATAAGCGATATGATAAATAAGCGTATCTTTTATCCACTCTATAGCTGATTTAGATTATTATTGGGATATGTTCTAAATCAAAATCACGAAATCATTTTAATCGTTTACAAATATCCTTACAACTTCGACAAGCCATCACTGCTCAGTAGAATAGAACTGTCTCTGTCAGTCTATAATCAGATAGGTCACCACATCCTGGATCTGTGTTTGGGCAGACGGAATGTCGGCTTTGTTTAGAGGTAAATGAGTTGTCTAGCCTCATTATTGAAGATAGCAAAAGTATACAAAATCATTATTTTTCTTTTTCACTTTTACACGTTATTATTTTCAAAATAGATACATTAAGATGGGTGTAAGCTATACTTTTAGCTATTAGATTTTTTATTTATTTCACTGCATTTTGTTGATGCAATTTAAACAAAAGTCAAAATAATTTCTTCAAAAATGAATAGATAACAATAACCTATAGGAGGTTTTAAAATGTGACAGTTTCGGCTTAAAATATTGTAATGAAAATACTTTAAAACAAACCATTAACACATCCCCAAAAGATAAAGAAATTAGAATTCAAATAGAATTTTCTTTGCATTGTAATGTTAAAATCAAATTAGAACTTAACACGTATATTTTTTTTAACTTAAATATAAAAATTACCAATTAACATAATAATCAACACTGTGCACTTATAGGCACAAATCTATGGTAAATTAAAAGTCTGTTAATCAATTTCATAGCAGTTTCATAGCAGTGGGAAAATAGGCATTAACTAAAACATGAGTTTAAAACTGTTATAAAAAAATCTGTTACAATAGTAAATAAAAACGCTTGTATCGCTTTGAAATTAACAAAAAAAAATTGCTTTAATAGAGATTTTAGGCATTGACTTCAATGATAATCAAATAATCGAATAAAAAGTGAAAAAGTCTTAGAAATCGACTACTTTTATATTTGCAGTGCATATCAACGTTCACTAAAATCATCATCATCAAAAAATAAGCCACTTTTCTTTGTACCACATGAACAACCCCATGACCAGGTCGTCTATCCTATACTATCTGCGAGCTTTGCGTCGTATCCTTATCCATTATTATACCCCATAATTTTCTAATCTCTATACTAAGAGTTTTATGTGTTCTGTGTTCTGTGTTATATTATAAATTTCTAATTTTTTTAATAAATACTAAACTTTGTGTATAAAAAAAAAATTTCAGTTCAGATATGGATGAATGGCCATGTCGAGATGGAGGAGCCAATGCCATTGGACTATCAGTATCATTACTTTCAATAATAGTTGCAACCATGCTTTCTCGTTTAATTTAGTCAATATTTATTAAAATTGTTATTGGAATAAATTAAATAAATAAAAGTTATTACAATTGTTATATGTAATTAACAAAATTCAAAAATGTTTGTTTAAATGACGTTTATAAATTTTGAGCGACAACATTTTCGTATATATAAAGAATGTATATATGGAAATATATATAATATATATTTTTATTCATAAAAATAAAAAAAAACATATGCAAAAATTTAATTTTTTTTTATAAAGTTTTGACGAGTTTTGAGCTGAATTTAAATTTTTCAGTATAAACAAAATACTGAAATTGATTGTTACTTCGAAAGATCTTATAGGTTTTGATTAATTTCCTTTGTAACACATTATTACATTTTTTGAAATTTGAATTTGAAAATCTTGATTCTTATATATCGTATACAACAGTTTTTGCGATTGAAAGTCTATATAAAGATTTTCAAAAATATTTTTTTTATTTTATGTATTTTTTGTTTAGATCAATCTTGAGGTCCCTGAGAATGTCATTGGCTTTGTGAAATTTCTAGCTGGTGAATAGTAGTGTTTGTGGCCTTGCTGAACTTTACACACTCATACAGAAGTGACGGTCGAATTATTGGGTTATATGTCAGCTTCATGTTCTTAGCAATGAGATATCAAAGCGTAACAAAGATATCAAAGTCCTAAAAAATATTTTTATATAAGACTTATTGTGATATAAAACTTATATTTTTTTTGAGAAGAATATTTCTTTTGAAAATTTATCACGTTACCTGATCTGGTTATTTTTCAATGAGTTTTCAAAAATATTCTTTTATTAAAATTGGCGTTTAGCTTGCTAATATATTGTGAATAACTCTTTTTTCCACAATCTTTTTTATAAATTTATTTTTCCCTATTAAAAAATTGATAAACGAATCTAGTAAGAGTACAGGCTGCAAAGACAGTAGTATTAGTTATATCTTGCGCAGCCCAATTTGGAATATCTACTAGTATATTGTCTTTGTAAGTAGTAATCTGCTTTCATACCTATTTTTCTAAATAGTATAAAAAATACAATGAATTTGTGTATAACTTTTGATTTACTGTCTTCGTTCAAAGTATAGTATATGATTGGTTGGTTGCAGTGGCAGGCCATTATATAACTTCCATATACCTCTATCAGTGATTTTTCGCAGTTTTACTACCACTTCCCCGCAAGAGCCATAGTCTTCTCTACTATGGTAAAGACTTAATCCATCCCGACATTCACCGATGAACAATCTAATAAACTAACAAAGCACCTATATCTTCTAGACGCCAAAACCGGACATTCACAGAGAAAATGTATTATGGTTTCTTTTTCCTGCGGGTTTCCACAACTGAGAATTATGGGGGATGCGCAGTTTCTCTGCGTAGGTTCCTACACATCTTTGTATGGGATATACATATATATAGAATATACTTGTCAATATATTAAAGTAAGTTTTTAAATATGTATTTGCTTCTATTGCAAATATCAAATGTCTCTATTTCAACTGTTATTAGGTTTTTTCTTTAGAAAACATCGC